TATCTATCTATCTATCTATCTATCTATCTATCTATCTATCTATCTATCTATCTATCTATCTATCTATCTATCTATCTATCTATCTATTTATTTATTTATTTATTTATTTAACTTATATGCCGCCCACACTACCCGAAGGTCTCTGGGCGGCTTACAGCATTTAGCATCTATAGTTGGAGCATGGACTTCATTTCTTTTAAAAAAAACCCTCTGGTTTATGAATGTGAAATATTTTTGCTTCTGCATCCACGATTTAAAGAGCCAGGAAATGGCCTGATATTGCTGCATAGTTTCTTGCCAGCATTACAAGCAGAAAAAAGGATGCCAAACTTTACATAGCAAAGGGCAGCCTGAATATTAACACCACCAATAGCAGCAGTCAAAATGGTCTACAGGCTACCCTCTTGTGCTCAGGACCATTCATTAAGTGACGGCGAGCAAGGGAAAATCCCAGAAGCTGACTCCTTTTTTTCATCAGTTAACTATGTATCACTATCATGGCTGTTTTTTGACAAGTATGAATGATAGTGAGCACAAAAGGATATCCTGTGGTGATCCAAATACAAAAAGATGGTCCTCTTGAACTTCTCTGGACAACTGGTATTCTGTTAAAAGGATTATAAATTTCCAAGCTACTGAAAATATAGCCCAATCATAAATTGTGTGTAATGGTCCAGAGTCCAGACCATAATGTTTCTGTTTGGGTTCATTTATCATTTCTAACAGAGGGCTGGCTACTCACTCCAGGAGCTCTTCCACTTGTCTCGCAGCAAGGTGATTCAGCAAAGGACTCTGGCTTTACAGGTGCTGGGCCATGTAGTCCAGAAGGTGAGTTTATCTCTTTCACATGATTATTTTCCTCTTTGTCTGCATTTTAGTGGAGACCCATAGCCTTTAATGTGACAAGACGGCAGGTGAGTGAGTAAATCTTCTTGTGTCTCTCCATGACCAACCTACCCTTTGACAATTCATCACTGTTCTTTGGTTTCCGATCTGCTATGTGATAGAATTTAACCTGAAGAATGTTCTAAGTTAAAATATTGAGGGCTTTATTGCCCAGAGTTAAGGAATGGCATGTGTCAGAGTCCTTGGACTGTTCTTAATTAGGTTGTTTCTTGAAAATATAGCTTTAAGGGTCCTGCCTCATGACTTAATAATTTAAAGAATGATCATAACTGTGCATATTCTGATTACATATGGTGGCTCTGTTCAACCATGGAGGTCTATGTTGAAACAATGTTGTTTAAAACCATATTACGTGTTTTGTTCTTTCAGAATGCTGCTGTCCTGTTACTAGCTAACTGCACATATCCCTAGGAGCAAGTTCCATTGGGGGAAAAAAATCAGTAGCTTTTTAAAGATGTTGGTTTAAATATGAAGTTGGATTTTACTTGTGTGATAAAGATGATATATTTAAGAACTATCAGTGTAGGATATTAATTTATTTAAAACAATGAGAAAAGGTGTGAAACATGACTGAAATTTGACATCATTGTATATTATCATTATTTTAACATTTTGGTTGGTCGAGTGTTGGTAAACTTTCATTTGTGGCCTGCTTATAGGATGAAAGTGGTGGGGAAGCACGTTCTCTGCTTTTTCATTGCTCTTAGAATGCATCTAAAATACAGGGTAGAAGTCAGGAGCAGGTCACTCCTGTTATCTTTGACTTTGCATGGCCCTTCAAATATTTTGACTTACTTGTGAAACACAAGGTGAAGTCACAGAAAGGAAGGAAATTCCCTTGGAGGTGAAAACTACAGCTTCCATAGTCGCCCTACAGTCTTCTTTGTGGACCCTTAAGGAGAAAGAAAGGCACAGCTTCTTTGTCACTATATACAGTGAAGATGAAATACCTCGCAAGATGAAAACAATTCGTTCCGCAAGTCCCTTCATATCGCGAAAACGATCATCTTGCGAAGTGTGGTTTCCCATAGGAATGCATTGAAATTCCAATGGAACACCACACAAGAGAAATGCCATTTTTTTGTCTTGCGAGCATCACTGCAAGACAAAAAAAAGATCATCTTGCGAAGCACAGCCATAGGAAAAACCGTCTTGCAAAGCACCTGGGACATCACAAAACACTTTCGTTTTGTGAGTTTTTTGTGGCGCGAGGCGTTCGTCTTGCGAGGTACCACTGTACATTTTGTTGAAGATTGTCGTTAGAAGCTGAGAAACATCTCCTTTATAATACAGAATCAAAAGTAACATTAATTTAGGTGGCCTGTGACTGCTCTCTGTGTTGTTGCTGTTGTTGATGCTGAAGTAACTACTGGAGTGTGGCTCCTTCTCATTCTGTATGTTATCTTAGCAGTCCAAGATCACATGGGTGGATTCTACAATATGTTTCCTCCTGTGCCGTTGATACCTCCATACCAGAGCAAAGTAAAGGGGCCTTGTGGTACAGACCTGCAGTATTGCAATCAAAAATGCTCATGAATTGCATTCATTCCTGATGGATTCTGGCATCCAGCTCAAGGCTGACAGCCTTTCATCCTTCCGAGATCAGTAAATTGAGTACCCAACTTGCTGGGGATGGGGGGCAATGTGTAGCCTGCATAATTAAATTGTAAACCACTCAGAGAGTGCTTTAAATGCTATGGGGCAGCATATGAGCAGAACACGTTGGTTTTTGCTTCAAGGTACTATCTTACAGTTGCTCTACTGCTGTTGGAAGAGTTATATAGGTGTCTATTTCTGAAATAATTCTCCTTGTTCTCTCTGTGATGTGTCTTCCAGGCCAAGGCAGGGGAGTTTGCCAGCTTGCTGAAAGAAAGTGTCCTGCGAGTGCTGCTTGATGCTGGTTTCCTCTTCTTGCTGCGTTTCTCCATGGATGATCCAGTGGAGAATGTCATTGCAGCCACCATCCATGCCCTCCATGCTCTTTTGGTCTCTCCCAATGATGAGGTTAGAGCACCTGAGTACATTTAAAAACACATTGATTATTGTTGGCCTTTTATTATTGCTCTCTAAGCCTGTGCACTGCTTTAAGCTCTTGATAGATCGCAGGTAATCTCTCTCTCATCCTAATGGTAATAGATTTGAAGCTATACAAAGCACATAGTAGATTAAAATGTCCACTTTAAAGGACTATTATAATTCCTGTATTGTAAAATCAGTGAGAAAATTCTTGGTTATTGAACATGGTTTTTAATTAAAAGGAACATTTTTTCAAACCTGTAAACTAAGACCAACTTGAAAACATATACCATTTACTTTCAGATGACATGGTAGTCTTCTGTTAGATTTTAGAATAAATTAAATTCTCTGGAACCAAACCAGTACAGTGGTGCCTCGCTTTACGATCGCTCTGTTTAACGATGATACCACATTATGACGAACTTTTTGTGATCGCTTTTGCGGTCGCTTTACGGTGTTTCCTATGGGGGAATTTCGCTTTGTGATGATCGGTTCCCTGCTTCGGGAACCGATTCTTCGCAAAACGATGATTTTCGGACAGCTGATCGGTGGTTTCAGAATGGCCACTGGGTAAACAAAATGGCCCCCACTGTTTTCTGGGACGGATTCCTCGCTGCACAGGCAGTGAAAATGGCCGCCCTATGGAGGATCTTCACTGGACGGTGAGTTTCCAGCCCATCGGAACGCATTAAATGGGTTTTAATGCGTTTCTATGGGCTTTTTAATTTCGCTTTACGACGTTTTCGTTCTACAGCGATTTTGCTGGAACGAATTAACGTTGTAATGCGAGGTACCACTGTATATGCAGTGCTTAAAGAAAAGAAGAGAGTAACACTTCCTATGCATTTTTTTTCATCTAGTTATACAGTTCTTACGTTGAGCAAGAGGTTGGACTCAGTGGTCTTATAGGCCCCTTTCAACTCAATTAGTCTATGATTCTGTTTTATAATCCTGTAAAGATACTTATGGTTAGCATTGTTATTCAACAGAAGAGCCAAAAATCTCTAACAAATTTATTTAAATATTTAAAGGAACCTTGTAAATAAATCCTTTATTTTATGCATCCTTCCCCTCTATGAGCTCAAGTGGTATTCTCGAAAGGTATTTCCTCTAGATCTAGCTCTTGTTCCATTCATCCTTCCACTGAGAAATTCTTGTTTTTCACTTTCTTCTAGGAATATCTTGACAAGACCTTCTCATGGTATCAGGGTATGAGGTTTTACCCTTTTACTCCAACCAGTAAGGAAGAAGATGAGGAGGAAGAGGAAGAAGGTGAACAAACTGTAGAAAAAACACTGGAGAGGAAATCAACAGACGAAAACAAACCAGATTCAGAAGTGGCTCGGTATGATGTTGTGAAGGTAAAGTTCCACATTTGTGCCTGAAATTAGCACACTTTATACCTATTTTTCTTAAAAATCAACAGGAATCCTATGGGGATTTAACTCCAGAGGAAGTAAACTTGCAGCAAATGGAAGCATACACATGGCAGCAATGGAAGCTAATTAATAAAGTGCCAGTGAAGTACCTGATCTTTTGTTACGAGCAGGCAGATGACATGGGGATATGGAAGGAGCCTCCCAAAAGAATGTGAATGTGAAGACATTCACGCGTCCCCTGGGCAATGATAATACGTAGCATGGAAGATCTTGGCTTTGGTCTCTAGTGACAAATCCTTGGCATCACCAAAGAAGTGGTTGTGTTAGCCTGTCTCGGCATACTGGTAAAAATAAAAGGGGAGAAGAAGAAGAAAAACAGATAAAGGCAAAAGACTGCAGCACTTTAAAGATCAAGGCTGAAATCCTGATGCTTTGTGTAGTAAGTTGCAATTAGAACAGGCCCGTTGAATCATTGGGCATTTGGTAAGTCAACTCTTCTGTAATTTCCATTGATTGAAAAGGGCCTACTGTATTCTAATTGCAACTTTAGTGTAGTAAGGCACATTTGGAATAGTCCCATTTGAGTCAATATGAACTTACAGAGGAGGTCACTCACCAAATTACCATTAATTCAATGGGGCTACTTTAGTACAACTTAATATGATAAGTAACAGAACTTCAGCCATAGTGGCTAAGCAGAGTTTTCTGAATTAAGAAAAAAAGATTCCCCCCCCAAAACACAGAATAAATAATAAAAACCTAAATGGCTGTGGGAGTGACCGTGATGGTTTGTTGCCTCCAAGGGACTTCTAAAGACCAGGATTCTTCATCGCCTGAGATACATTCTGGAAGTGATGCGACCTGTGCCCTTGGTAGTTGTGGAGATTTTAGAGATCCTCACTCGCATCGCAAGGCACTCCTCTGAAGCATGCAGTCAGGTAGGTCCCTCCGTGTCCTGGGAGTGAGAAGAAGCAAAAGTAGCCATCTGGGCTGAAAGAAAACAGTGCAGAATCATGGTTAGTCCAACCAGAAGGTTACAAAATACTGTGCAAACTTTCAGTTTCTTGGGCCAGAAATACGGAACAAAACAGACAGTTAAAGGGGTCATGCAGGGGGTGAGGAGTCATCAGTGGATTCTGCATTGGTTTAAATTCTAAGATAAGGGGTGAGAAGAGAATGCAGATATTCCACATAGGCTGTGTTGGTAAATGAGATGATCTCCGTTACTTTGACTCATTGATAAGAAGAAGAACAAATATATTTAATAGCTTTAAGCGAAATGCATAGGTCCCTTGACAGTTGAAAACAAAAGTAGAGAGTAACCTTTAGACCAGGGGTGTCCAACCTTTCACCTTCCCTGGGCCACATTAGAAGATGAAAAGTTGGTTTGGGCCGCACATACATTTTATTTGGGCCGCATGGGAGGGGCAGCCCTAGCCGTCCTCCACACACCCCCTCCAAGCACGTTTATCGGCAGCTGAGATCTCTGACAGCAGAGGCTGCCAGCTTTATGGGGCCGGGAGGGGGTCCACCTATTGACGGGGACAGCGCAATGCAGTCACGCAGCCCCCCTGTCCCCTCCCATTCCTTCCTTCCCTCTCTCCCCCTCTACTGTTGTGACACGCTGCGGCCACATTCCGGCCGCAAGGGCCGGCAGTGTAACTCGAAACTTTGGAATTTCTTTAAAAATAAAAAATTGTACTGGGCCGCATTACGAGCTGAGCTGGGCCGCATGCGGCCCTCGGGCCGCAGGTTGGACAAGCCTGCTTTAGACAGTTTTATCTTAACAAAGCTGCAGATAATTTTAGATGATGCAGTAACTTAAAAAGAGTCAGTAAAAGCTTGGTTTGGTACCTTTGCCTAGTAGTTGAAGAATGCAGCCCCTGCTTCAGGTGGCATAAAATCATGTTCCTTAGAGAAGATGTAAAAGAAATAAAAAGGAAATTGAGGAAGTAGAAAAAGAGACTCTCAGATTCTTTTATTTATTTAATTTTGATATCCTTTGCAAGATGGCCAACATAAGCATTGCTGTAATAAAATAAAAAAGAGATAACTTGGTACTGTGTCGTATTTAATAGGTCTTGGGTTGCCCTCGTCTGATTGAGACTGTCATCAGAGAATTCCTTCCCACCCAATGGAGTCCAACAGTGGCGGAGCCTGGGCAGTTTCTTACAAGCCTCCATGGAGTTCCATGTGCCCCTGCCATGAAACTAATTAGAATCTTGGCATCCGGAGGGCGAAATGCAGCTGCCAGGCTGGTAAGAATCTAATCAGTTTCCCCTTGTGATTTTTACAAAGAACTAGGATTTCCTGCTCTAGATTTCCAGCCTGTGAACTGCTCTTAGTTGACTTTGATTCCCTTACTTTTGTTTATTTTATTCCCTTAGCAGACCAACACTAGTGAGGCCCAGACTTCACAACTTATTTATATATATTTTTTTCCTCTGATTTTCCCATCTGAATATTCCTGGATCAGTTTTCTTACACATTCCCCTTAGTCTTCAGGAACTTGTTCTTTAGAATAGGTAGCTCTTGTGTCTGTCTTGACACAAAATGGTTGGGGACATAGTGAGCTTAATGGCCAAAAGCAATATTTCGTCAAGGGCTAACTATGGCTAATTTTGCTTCTTATAATACCATCTGATACTTTAATCGAGATAGTTTTACATTATACTTTTTCGGTTTGTTGTATTGTGTTAGAAATTCATTCTGATTTCTTTTACATTGTGCCTTCTTTTCGTGCATCTTATCTGCTATGAAAGTTTAAGCCACTAATAATATTGAGAAATTGAAACCAGCTGGGAAATTTGAAAGCAGGAAGCTCCACTTTAGTTTGATTCCAGCAAACACATGTTCTGGAAATGAACCACAATTGGAGTGATCCTATCCACACCTAAAAAAGAGTATCCCTCGACAGAGTCAGAAAGGTATAAGAAGGCATGCTTAAGGGATGGGTCGGTTCGCTCTAGCAATTGCGTTCTTTAATTGCAGCAAAAAGGGGGAACCAACCCATCCTGACAGCAAACCAGATAGCAGGCCAAATGCCTGTTTAGTCACTCCCTTAGTTCCAACAAGGGCCTTTCCTTAGTTCTAGTCTTTAGTCTAGAACTAAGGTCTTTTTGGTCTTTCTTTTTCTTTTTAATTTCCAGGGTAAGGGGAAATGAATCGGGATAACAGGGAGTATATCAATCCATTCCTTATCACATATTATTTGTACTTACACATATCGTTACATTAAGATCTTTTGTGTCTGTTAGTTGCTTATATACTTCCCACTAGAATGATTTGACTATTTTGTATTATAGTTATCGCATTTGACTTTCAGGTTATAGAACGGATCCAGTTATATACAGGGCTCCATTTTTCAGTTACTTATTGGATTGAATTGTCTTTTAAAGTTCTGTTAATATGTCCATCTCCGCCACTTCCATAATCTTTTGCATAAATTCTTTACGGTTTGGTATTTAAGTTTTCTTCCATGTCCATGCGTATAGTATTCTGGCTGCAGTTACTATATGTATTACCAAATGGCTCTCTCTCCTATCCAAAGTATCTGGCAACATGTTTGATAAAAATTCCTTCGTTCTTATCATTGACGGACACACCCTCTGTAAGTTCGTCTGATCCACCTGTTGAAGTCATTATTAGCATTCTTCAGTGTTGAAGCCACTTAATGTTCTTCCTATGTTGCTGTAGTTGTAATTCTGTGTTGCCCTTCCCACAAGTCTCTTCTCTTATGCATCATCTGCTTATTATTTGTAGCTTAATAAGTTTGAAATGAAGAGTCGACTGAGTCGTTTTATTGCTGAAGATCCCAAAGATCTTCCTCTGGGGATTGAGGAAGCCATAAGGATAAACACAGAGGCATTCCGCTTGTGGGCTATCACTGCTGGCTACGGTCAAGCCTGTGATCTCTATGTGTAAGTGCATACAACGGAACATAGAACCTGGTGTTTCTTTTCTTAGATGTCTAGAGTGGTAGAATATACCAGATGGGCGGGATATAAATCGAACAAAATAAATAAATAAATAAATAAATCTCCACTATACAGTGTTATATAAAATGTTACTGAATATCACATTGTACGTTTCTCTGGGACCAGAACATCAGCCATGTTAACATCTGACATTTTTTGAAAGACTATATTGGGAAAGAGATTGTCTTTCCATTGTAAAAAAAAAAAACAGTTTGATTTGTCTGCCCCTTCCTTGCCTATCTAATGCAGTAACTGGAAATTCACTTTGCAGACAGGACAGGAAGAAACTTGGGTTTACTTGCTACAGAAGCACGTTAGGGAAGGAGGTACACTATCAACCTAAGGCCATATATAATTAGACTGGGAGGGCTCGATTCCTCCTGTTAATTTCTAAGCCAAGATAGATAATAAACCATAAAACCAATTTGCTGCAGTAACCAGAGCGGAAGGTAGTCTGATAAAGCAGTGGTCCCCAACCTTTTTGGGACTGCGGACTGGCTGAGCCTCTGAGGAAGGCGGGGCACCGCGCGGGTGCATGCATGGAGGGGTGAGGGAGCGCTCATGTCGGCGCATGCGCATGTGCGCAAAACAGCTGTGGGGAGGGGAGCGTGCAGGGGGGAGGTCTGTCTCTGCGTCCCGGTCTGGCTCAGGCCACGGACCAGCACTGGGTCGGGGGTTGACAACCTCTGTGATAAAGGACCTAAAAAGCTAAGAGGAGTGAGGTTCTCCCTTTATCGTAGATGACCTCTGTATCATCTGGGCCCATCACTCAACAAGTCCTACCAGAGATTAAATAAATCTCAGTCTACCATTGACTTGAATCTAGACCAGTCTACACGATAGACAACATTTCAGAACACCATTGTGAAACAGGAGTTGACAACCTCTGTGATAAAGGACCTAAAAAGCTAAGAGGAGTGAGGTTCTCCCTTTATCGTAGATGACCTCTGTATCATCTGGGCCCATCACTCAACAAGTCCTACCAGAGATTAAATAAATCTCAGTCTACCATTGACTTGAATCTAGACCAGTCTACACGATAGACAACATTTCAGAACACCATTGTGAAACAACGTATTCAGTCTAATAAGCACCATGTTATAAACACCCACCCACTTATGGTTATACATGCTTGTGTTCAGCTTCTACCCAGAACTCATAATAAAGTTTGTTGTTTATAGTTCAGTTGTCATACAACCACATCTGCTGAGTTCAGCAACACAGAGCTTGTGGGTTCTTACACTGCTGTACCTAGTAGGCAGTTCTTACATTGCTGTACCCACTCATTCAGCTGAGGAAAAAATTGACAGCAAAATAGGTACCTAAGAACAATCTACTACAAGGCAGATTGAACAGAGAGGGTGACAGAGCACCCTTGGCTGTCACCTCCATCTCTTAGCTGAGCCCACTCACATGTCAAAAAGCTCCAGCCCATTGTGGGCAATTATGCTTCTATCTCACAAGCTTTGGCTGGCAGGCTTACAGACAGTCTCTTTTATTTTAAACAACGACTGACAGTACATTGGATCCTCTATTTATGGAATTAATCTGTATTGAAACGGTGGCTGCAGGTCGAAAAATCTGTAGGTCGAGTCTCCATTGCCCTACAATGCTTTGAAAACCGATTAATCCATAACCAGCCATTTTTGTTCTGTTTTTGTTCCATTTTGGTTTTTTTCTGGTCTTTAGGTTGATTCTCCGGCTGCAAGTTGAACCTAAATTTTGCAGCCAGAGAAGTCTGTAACTCGAAAAGTCTGCAAGTCAAGCCGTCTGTAAGTCGAGGGTCCACTGTATAACATGGATACTAAGACATGGACAAGACCCTACTATAAACCTAGATATCACATCTACCCAGGCATCAGGGGCTCATTTACTCACTCAACGTCTAATGAGATATATGCCATCCAGTGCCAGTAGTAGTGCTCTGATTTCTCCACGGGCAACAGGACATGCTCTGTGCCAGAGATTAAATGAATAAATGAACACAAATCTGACATCAGAAACTTCTGAGGATGCCCATTCATCTCTAAGTGGCTATTGCATAAACAATAGAATTGCAAATAGAGATTTGAAAGAGAAGCAGCTGAAGGAGGGTTGTATTAATTCCATTGTACATCTAGAGCAGCAGTCCCCATCTTTTTGGGCCACGGACTGGTTGGAGGGAGCGAGCTCCATGTGCGCGTGGGGGGGGGGTTTGAGGGCTGACATGCCCCCCCTGCGTGCATGAGGGGGGGCGGAGATCTGTATCCGCGGCCCACTTCCAGCAAGCCCACAGACTGGCACCAGGCTGTGGACCAGGGGTTGATCTAGAGGATTACATGCAAATGCTTTTCAGCACACTATATGTATATTTATAAGCTGGTTGCCTTTATTGTCTTGGTTATAATCAAACACTTGTTTTTGGCAAAAGCCTGACCTCAATACCGTTTATTTTTCCTGAAAGCTCAAGTCCTGAGAACTCACATCCTTTCCATCCTGCTATTGCCAGGATGTTAATGTCATCAACATATGGAGTGTTCATTGCTAGCAATAATAATGCTGTTTGCCACCTTGGAAGCTCTTCACCAGGTGTTAATATACAATTGCCATTCCCCTGGGTCCCATCCCCGCCCATTCTCCCAATCTTTGCTATATAGAGAGCTGTTGCCCAGATGTTGTGTTCCATGTGTCTGAAGAAGTACATTACAATTCATAGATGCTCACACACTGATCGAAATGTGGTCGTCTTAATGGTGCTTGAATACTTTTGGTTTTGGTTTTGTTGTCGCAAATTGTCTCTGAAACCATAGCATAGCCTCCTTCTTCTCAAACATTCTCTAAACGAAGCGGGTTGGAGTTATTGTAAGGCTGACTGCATTTTTATACTGTAAAAACTAAGAAAAAAAGTGTAATGTGTAAAACATATGCACGTTTTTATGTGGAATTTTCCATAGTGAGGTTTTGGGTTTTTCTAGAAGTAAACAGCATTTTGAACCATTAGCCTTACTTTTCCTGTGATTTCTCCCTTCCATCCCCTTATTTCTGAACTTACAGGGATCTCTATCCTATGCTGATGAAGATGGTTCCGTCTCTGACTCGGCTGTCCAGTGATTTTCAAGCAAATAAGTCTACATTTGAGCTTTGTATCCAGCAAGCTGCAGCAGTGGTGACTCTGCTCACCCAAGTGACACAAACTGCGGGCTGCAGAGCAGAACTGCAGGCTCAATTGATCAGGTGTAGCCATCAAAATCAAAACAAAAATGTTCACTAAGTTTGATTCTTAAATCAGTGAATGCTTGTTTAAATTAGTAATGCTTTGATGGGTACTGAAACAGACCTTGTTCTACAAGTCTCTTTCCAATGCTTTCTTTCATTTGTTATGTTCTTAGAGTAGATTTGTATGTTCTTGTTTTTTTTGTTTGGAATCTTCCATCTCACATTTCCATGTTTTCAAAAAAGCCCAGGATGGTTTGCAACATAACAAGATATTGAAATGACAGTAATATATGAGTTATAATAACATAATACAGTAGTAGTAGTAGTAGTAGTAGTAGTAGTAGTAGTAGTAGTAGTAGTAGTAGTTGTAACAGCAGAGAAGCCTGGTATGATGTAGTACAGTGGTTCTTAACCTTTGTTACTCTGATGCTTTTGAACTGCAACTCCCAGAAGCCCCAGTCAGGACAACTGGTGGTGAAGGCTTCTGGGAGTTGCAGTCCAAAACTCCTGAGTAACCCAAGGTTAAGAACCAGTGATGTAGTAGATTGATAGGGTGACAGAGTAGGACTCAGAGGACCTGGGTTCAAATTACCACTCAGTCATGGAAATTATTGGGGGCTTGGAACTGGTTTATCCACTCCTTAAATATTTCATTTACCTTGAAAGCTCTACAGTGGGGTCTCTACTTAAGAACTTAATCCGTATTGGAAGGTGGTTCTCAAGTGGAAAAGTTCTTATGTAGAATCTGCATTTCCCATAGGAATGCACTGAAAACCATTTAATCTGTATCTGCTCTTTTCCGTCCATAGAAACTAATGGGAAGCTGCTATTCCGCCTTCTACCACTAGAGGGGGATATTTTTTCTTTTTTTTCCCCTTAGGTCAGGGAACAGTGTTAAAAGCACTTCTGACGAAGCTAATTTTGAAGCAATGGACTGAAAACCAATTAATCTGTTCTGGCTGTTTTTTTGCTATGTAGCGGTGCGTTCGTACATTGAAGCATTAGTTCCCATAGGAACTAATGCAAAGCTGGTTAATATGTACTCTACCACTAGGGGGAGAACTTTTTTTAACCTAAGATGACCTAAGGTTAAAAAAAGAGCAGGAAAGTTTTTTTTTCCTGTTCTTATCTTGGATTTTTGTTCTCAAGTAGAAGCAAAATTTAGCAAATGGAGCTGTTCTTAAGTGGAATTGTTCTTAAGTAGGGACGTTCTTAAGTAGAGACCCCACTGTATTAGGATTGCTATAAGTTGGTTCCTATTTCCCGGCACATAACAGTAGTAGTAGTAGTAGTAGTATTTTCCAGCTTCAGATAATGGAAATTGAAAAATGAGTATGAAAGAATAGGGGAAGCCATATGAAACAGAAAAGAAATGGTAGATAAAATAAAACAACTACTTATAGGAGATGGTGGATTGCAGCTTGGTAAATAAAACATCTTTGCACAGTTGTGGAGGTCATCAGATGTTTTATATCCTGCCTTTGTTTAATCATGGCACTCAAGATGGTATGATGGAGGTCTTCCCTTTCAGATACAGGCCACATTTGGATATGCTTAGCTTAAGGTTGCTGTATCATGTGCTGAATATCTGTGTCCACCCCCCCACACAAAATTGTCTTTTTTAGTCATCAGTAACAGATGCTGTTAGAATCGAAGTGTCTTGCTTGATTAGACCATTTCTATCAAGTCTAGCATTCTGAAAGTGAGCTGACAAATGCCCGTGACACTTCACAAACAAGAGTAGCTATCCCTTTTTGGTGTCTCCTTTGTTGTACTGAGCAAGCTGTGTGTGTGTGTGTGTGTCTGCACGCGCGCCCTGTCATAGCTTAGTGAATAATTGAACACATGCATTTTATTAAATTTCAACGAAAACAGTTCCCCAGATCAGGTTTTGCTGACAAGGGAACAGAAGGAGAAAATCTTCTTGTGAATGCAACCTTATTTTGTTTGTTGTCTTGTTGATTTTTAAGGAAAGTTCATGCTGAGCTAGAATTTTGGCAGTGTTGCTTTTAAGACTTAAGAGTGCCATCATGTGCCAACTTTACATAATGCTCAAATAACAGCTTATCTAAATGGAGGCACTTTTTTCCTGAAGGCCTCTGTTACTTAGAGAGGATAACAATTGGTTTGTTCTCCATTAAATGCAGTTGAAGTAGTTTCTCTCTCGAATACTATTTTCAGTTGGAACTCTTAGAATACTCTTTAACCTGTCCTGAGAAGGCAATACTTGATATGGAGTAAAAATGGATTTTAAAAGATGGATCAGACTAGTCACTTGCAAAGTAATGTATAGGGAAATGAAGCAAGTATTGTTTTTTTAATCAGCTTTTCTTAATTATATCATATGCAGTGTTGAATATGCTAGGTTTTAACTTATTTGTATCGTGTTTTTAAGTTTTTTTGTCCTTGTATTTTTGTTAGCCGCCCAGAGTGACCTGGTTGCCAGATGGTGCAGGATATAAATTCAGATAATATGTAAATAAATAAGAACCACGTTCCTGTGCTTCTTATAATTGAAGTATGGGAATCTGGGCTTTCCAAACAGAGGAGCTGTTTAAATCTAGAAAAATAAATAAATCTCGGAGACTTATAAGAAACGAAGATAATCTGTCCATTCTTTTACCTTCAAAAATGAACATGTGAAGAAGGCCCCCCCTCCCCGGGACAGAGAGGAGCAGGGCTAGGCACTCTCTTCTGCAGATGCTGTTTTCTCCAGGTTGACTAACTTCTGACCCAAGACTCTTCACTGACCTTTTAAGTTGTCGTTGTGGAGCAGAGAAATGTGAAAAGGGAGGTTAATGCGAGGGACTCCTGGTTTACATTTTGTCAAGAACAAAGATTTCTTGTCATACTGCATGACTTAATTGGCTTCCCTAGGTAGTACCTGGATGTCTTTCTTACCAAAACAATTAATTTAGTGAATGGTCACATTTAATAATGTAACTCTTTTCAGACAGGACATGCTGTGTTTAACTTTTATCTGATGTCAGCATCTGATGAAATGGGCTGTGCCTGAAACCATATATCATAATAAATGTTGAGTATTTAAGGTGCCCCATAACTCCTTGATGTTTTTGCAGCATACTATTATGGCTGCCCCTCTCGAAATCTATTTCTTTTCATTCCTTACCTTTCTCTAACTTCTTAGGAGGAGCAGGATGAAATAGTTAGTCTTTATAGAAGAACAGTTAATAATGGTATTCCCCATGGATACCATGTTCAGGCCAGCAAGTGTCAATATTTATTCCTGCTGTAGAAGCGGAGGCAGGTAGTAAATTTGATTGGAAAGCCAATAATTTGAGTAGGTGTAAATACCCGTTTCAGTCAAGACTGGTGGGCTGATCTAATGAATCTGAGTGACAGAGACAAGTGTAGGATTACTTTGAAGTAAAACAAATCGGAACTGGTAGATTGCAGGAATAGCCCAGATAAAAATCCCTTCTCTCACCACTGCAGAAGAGTTAATGCTTGGTGTATCTATCCAGCAGAAGAGAAAAATTAGTTACATATGTTTTTCAGTATTATTATGGGCTGCTTAGGGCAACTTCATGCCTGTGACATCTGGTAATGTATTGCATGGAAATTCTAAGGGCTACACATGTGACGTCCGGAGAGAATATCCACCATCACAGATCTTAATGCTATTGATGGAACTTACAAACAATGCTTTTCAGTCAAATTCACTAGATGCCACATGTGTAGCCCTACATAAGCTTATTACATTTGCTTGTATAAAACAGTTCTTGTCAGCTCTTTGTCCTTTTCTTTCTGTTTTATTTTTTTTAATTTATATTCCACTTATTGTCTAGGCCAGGGGTGTCCAACCTTTCACCTTTCCTGGGCCACATTAGAAGATGAAAAATTGGTTTGGGCCGCACATACATTTGGTTTTGGCCGCATGGGGGGCAGCCCTAACCTTCCTCCGCAGCCCCACTCCAAGCATGCTTACCGGCAGCTGCAATCGCAGACAGCAGAGGCTGCCAGCTTCGACTCCGGCGGCCTTATGGGGCCGGGAGGGGGTCCAACTATTGACGGGGATGGCACAGTGCAGTCACGCAGCCCCCCCTGTCCCCTCCCCTCCCCTCCTGTTCCTTCCTTCCCTCTCTCCCCCTCTACTGTTGTGATATACCCCGGCCCCATTCCGGCTGCAAGCGCCGG